CTGGAAACTATAGAAGATGAAACCTGGAAACTAGAAGATGAAACCTGGAAACTAGAAGATGAAACCGGGAAACTATAGAAGATTAAACCTGGAAACTATAGAAGATGAAACCTGGAAACTATAGAAGATGAAACCTAGAAACTAGAAGATAAAACCTGGAAACTAGAAGATGAAACCTGGAAACTAGAGGATAAAACCTGGAAACTAAAAGATGAAACCTGGAAACTAGGAGATGAAACCTGGAAACTATAAAAGATGAACCCTGGAAACTGTAGAAGATAAAACCTGGAATCTAGAAGATGAAACCTGGAAACTATAGAAGATTAAACCTGGAAACTAGGAGATGAAACCTGGAAACTATAAATTATGAAACCTGGAAGCTATAGAAGATGAAACCTGGAAACTAGAAGATGACACCGGGAAACTAGAAGATGAAACCTGGAAACTAGATTATGAAACCTGGAAACTATAAAAGATGAACCCTGGAAACTACAAGACGAAATCAGGAAACTAGAAGATGAAACCTGGAAACTATAGAAGATGAAACCTGGAAACTTTAGAAGATGAAACCTGGAAACTAGAAGATAAAACCCGGAAACTAGGAGGTGAAACCTGGAAACTGTAGAAGATAAAACCGGGAGACTATAAAAGATGAAACCTGAAAACTTTAGAAAATTAAACCTGGGAACTAGAAGATGAAACCTGTAAACTATAAGATGACACCTGAAACTATAGAAGATGAAACCTGGAAACTAGAAGATGACACCTGGAAACTTAAAAATGAAACCTGGAAACTAGGTGATGAAACCTGGAAACTATAAAAAATGAAACCTGAAAACTTTAGAAGATGAAACCTGGAAACTAGAAGATGACACCTGGAAACTAGAAGATGAAACCTGGAAACTAGACGATGAAACCTGGAAACTAGGTGATGAAACCTGGAAACTATAGAAGATGAAACCTGGAAACTAGAAGATAAAACCTGGAAACTAGAAGATGAAACCTGGAAACTATAGAAGATGAAACCTGGAAACTAGAAGATGAAACCTGGAAACTATAGAAGATGAAACCAGGAAATTAGAATATGAAACCTGGAAACTAGAAGATGAAACCTGGAAACTATAGAAGATGAATTCAGGAAACTAGAAGATGAAAACAGGAAACTAGAAGATAAAACCAGGAAACTAGAAGATGCCCCCCCCCCCTCTAAGTTTCACCTTCTACCCCTTATTATACATATACCGGATACACGTCAATAAAGATTGTTTGTACTATAATGAGGAAATCATGAGGAAGGTTTAGATTTTCAATCATGATTTTAACCAAATTACCAGTTTCTTCAATCTTTATGAACCACGATGGTCATAATCCAACATTCTTCATAATTTGGTTTTAAATGAGATAACTGTTGTGCAACAATTCCCATAACTTTACTTTCAATTTAGCTGGATACTGGTTTATGTTGTATCTGAACTTTTGTTGTAATCCTTTCTTGATCAGACTTCTTTCTTTAAGTTGAACGATTCAATAATCTATATTTCTAGCAATTTATTGCATGCGTTGTTCACCATAGAATTGATCAAAGAATTGTTCTATGTCTTTTTGAACATTTGTACATGTATTAAGTTCCTATGATATTTTGGTCAACCTCTGAAAAATCCCCCAAAAACTGACTAAGAATATTTGATAACAATGCCAAACCATAATTGCTAAAATACAAGGAACTCTCTTTTCAACAATATAACAGAAGTTCTTGAATTTTAAACTTTTCAATTGTTCAGTTAGTTTCTCCCACTAATCCAATTATTCATTTGAAATTGTCAAAACGTCTTTTTCTTATGCTTAAACATCAATTTTCAAAGAAACCAATTCTACAATTTTAGAAAATATTCTCTAAAAAGGGGAATATAAGAAATGAAAAAAGAGGAATGAATATGTATGGAAAAGAAGAACAAAAACTTGAATTGGAAGGAGGTATGAAAGAAGGTTAAAAGGAGTTGATGTTGAGTCTATCTTTGCAGAATCATTCATTCTATTAATTTTTTCATGATACCTATCTAGATACTGAATACTAATATACAGGATACAGGATACAGGATACAGAATACAGAACACAGTTTACAGGATGCAGGCTACACGATACAGAACGCAGAAATCAGGACAAAAGATACAGAATACTGGATACAGAATACAGGATACATATTACAGTTTAAAGGATACAGGATACATGATACAGGATACAGAACACAGGACATAGGATACAGGATACAGAATAAAGATATACAAGATACAAGATACAGTACACAGAATACAGGATACAGGATACTAATTAAAGACACTAAAGTTTTCTCTATTCTCTCCATCCTGTATCCCTGCATTGTGGAAATATGAACTCTTTTATATCTTCTCTGATTAGGAAATATGGGACTTTATTCTAACTTTTCCCTGGAAAGTTATTAATCAAATTATAGAAACATATCCCTAGATGGTTCAGCCACTCAAAACTTAATTTTCTCCCAGTAATTATCTAATATTTTCACTAGTTTTACAGATTCATTCATCATATAATTTGAGAAAGGGTTTATATAAGGAAAGCTTAGATGATCTCTACAAATATAAAATTATTGATCCCAACCTCATGTATATACAGTAAATAAAGTAGGGATTACATATTTAGAAAAAAATATATTTCTGTCTGGGTTGTCCCTCGTCAGTTCTTGAGATTGTTTCTGTCATGAAGATTCAAAACAAACTTAATTTTGTGTTTAAATTGAGCAAAACCCCATACAGTAAATAAGGTAATTTTTAGTTCCACATTTAAAAATTATATATTTCAGTCTGTGTAAACCCGTTTCATTTCTAACGATATAATAACCATCAAAATCTCAAAATCAATAATAAAAATAAAAATGTTCAAAAATGACCAGAAAATAAACATTTTTTTTAAAGATATTGTCAGATGAAAAAAAGGAATAAATAAATTTTGAACTTTAAAAAAAAATTTAATATTTAAATTTTCGGAACTTAATAATTAAAGCAATAATAAATTGTGTAGATTCTGAAGAGAGGGGGGGGGGGGGCTCTTATGAGGTGAACAAAGAAAAAGTTTTTTTTTGTGAAGCAAAGTAAATAATTAACGAAGTGGGGCAAATTGTCCTTTTGCGGTTATTTGGGTTTTAATCGAAAAAGCGTTCAGACCAGACCCAACTTTTTTTGGAATCTTTTTAAAAATATGAATGCAAGATATATTTATATTTATATATGGAAGATAAGGAAAATAGATTTATAAATAATGCCTACAATGTTAAATAAACAAAATTTAAATACCATGGATGATTATTTATTTTAACGAGTCTTTGAATTTTTCCGAATAAATGTTTTATGCAAACTAATTTTAATATTGCCCTCAGCTAAATATATTTCATTAAGCGTGAGACAGTGGGCATTTTAAGCAGTTCTGCAATTAGAAAATATAAACAAAATTTGTAATTATTTACATCTAAATAAAATCTAAAAAGATTTAATGATAATACATATTCATTAGCAAATATTAATAATATTTTAATAATTAATTAGCATTTCAATTCAACGCGTGTCCTATTCTTATTGTTAAAAAATAGATAAAAATTATAAAATTCGATGTTGATTTTATAAAAACAGGTTGAAGTTAAAAGTGCTTGGGAATTTTACTTTACAGTTTAAAAGGAGTGTTCGCGAAAAATGAAAGGGGTATAGGCTTACGTCGAAAAATATTTGATGGTAATTGCTACTAATCTTACTTCTATCTGTTGGGTCTATAGGGAGAAAATTGTTGAAAACAACTCATATCGAAATCACGCAGAAACATCAAGAGCAGAGACACATGGCGGCCAAATAATCGTCGTTTAAATTGCATCATAAATGAAACAAATAAAAAATATTATGAAATATTAACTATTTACGACTGTGTCGAAAAAAAAGATGATTGGTTGTAATATCTGAATGATTTGTTTGGAAATTAATGTTTTTTTTACGATCCGAGTCGAATTTTGCAACTTTCTGAATTTGTATGGACGCTACGTTCTTCGGTATAAGTAGTTTTTAACAATTTTCACCTTAAAGATAAATATTTTGATTTTTGCGAACACTCCCTATAAATTCTCTAAACGATCAACGCGCTTATTTTAAAAATACGCCGAAATAAGACGAGATGACTTAACATAAATAGATATGGACAAATTAAACCAGGTTATGGGGATATAAACTGAGAAGTAAGAAACTGAAAAGATAAGAACTGAATTCGTAGAAACGAGAGAGATGAAGAGATACAAGGAATGCATTGGACGGATTAATTATATTAATTAATGAATAGATGGTTCAGTTCTACTCAATGTAAATTAGGATATAAATTGAATGATTTGTTTTAGAAGAAGAAAAAAATAATATCTATTCTCGCAAAACGTAAAAAAAAATAAATGCTATATTTTTACATGATTTGATTTAGCATGGAGCGTGGAATTGAAAAAGATTCTAGATTTTTGTAATGACCTCCTTATATTACAATTTTTTCGTTTTTTTTCAGTATTGGCATTGGTTAAAGATAACTTTAGAATAAGCAAACCATATAAAGGTTGTCAGGATTAAGAAAAATGACAGTGAGAAAAAGAGTGGAAAAGTAGGAGGAAAACTATAAAAAATGTTCTAATGGGAAAGAAAAAGGTGTAGAGTTTATAAATATGAAAGGTTGGATTGAGTGGTTTATATGAAAGGTTCGGAGGGATTGCGTGATAAATAAGGCTTGATAGGATTGGTTGATATGAAAGATTTGGATGGATACGAGAGTTTTGGAGGGATTGGTTTATGAGAAAGATTTGGATGGATTGGTTCATGAGAAAGATTGGTGGGAGGGTTGACGAGAAAGATTTGTAGGAATTGGTCTATGAGAAAGGTTTGAGGGAGTGGTAAATATGAAAGGTTGGAATGAAGTTGTCTATTAGAAAGGTTTGGAGGGAGTGGTAAATATGAAAGGATGGAAGGAAGTTGTCCATGAGAAAGGTTTGGAGGGAGTGGTAAATACGAAAGGTTGGAATGGAGCGGTCTATGAGAAAGGTTTGGAGGAAGTGGTAAATATTAAAGGATGGAAGGAAGTTGTCCATGAGAAAGGTTTGGAGGGAGTGGTAAATATGAAAGGATGGAAGGAAGTTGTCTTTGAGAAAGGTTTGGAGGGAGTGGTAAATATGAAAGGTTGGAATGGAGCGGTCTATGAGAAAGGTTTGGAGGGAGTGGTAAATATGAAAGGATGGAAGGAAGTTGTCCATGAGAAAGGTTTGGAGGGAGTGGTAAATATGAAAGGATGGAAGGAAGTTGTCCATGAGAAAGGTTTGGAGGGAGTGGTAAATATGAAAGGTTGGAAGGAAGTTGTCCATGAGAAAGGTTTGGAGGGAGTGGTAAATATGAAAGGATGGAAGGAATTTGTCTATGAGAAAGGTTTGGAGGGAGTGGTAAATATGAAAGGTTGGAATGGAGTTGTCAATGAGAAAGGTTTGGAGGTAGTGGTAAATATGAAAGGTTGGAATGGAGCGGTCTATGAGAAAGGTTTGGAGGAAATGGTAAATATGAAAGGTTGGAATGGAGTTGTCTACCAGAAAGGTTTAAAGGGAGTGGTAAATATGCAACGTTTGAATGAAGTTGTCCATGAGATTGATTTGGAGGGAGTGGTAAATATGAAAGGTTTGAATGAAGTTGTCTATAATGAGAAAGGTTTGGAGGGAGTGGTAAATATGAAAGGTTGGAATGGAGTGGTCCATGAGAAAGGTTTGGAGGGAGTGGTAAATATGCAAGGTTTGAATGAAGTTGTCTATAATGAGAAAGGTTTGTAGGGAGCTATATATATATATATATATGGAGCATAATATTTGGATATATGTAGCAATACATTAAAACCTGAAAATATCTTCCTATCTGATCCTCAATTCACTCTCCCAGGGTTTAGACTAAAATATCCATAAAATTAAGCTCCAGAGTTTATGTATAATACATTGCAACAAATCTTTCTGCTTGATATTTGGGGCGTGTTTATCGTTCCATAACTTATCAACCTTCTCTCCTTCAAATTATATTCTTCGTGGATCGTAAAGATTGGATATTCCGGGTATCCGTACCAACCTGCCTACTCGGAGTAAACGTCCCATCCAACCCGAACCTGCAGATTCTAAACTTAAAACCTTAGATTTATCAGTTTATGGGTTTTGCAAGCAGTAAAGATAGGCGCAGGAAATATTTGCATGATTTTATAAACATTATCCTAGGTCTATTCAAAGTTACGTGTTTTACACGACATTTTGTTCCTCAATAGATTCACGTGATTTTCACGATTCATGATATTTACATGAAACCTTTTATAATCATTATCATATCTAGAATCAAACTATGTAAATCGTTGAAAAATAATTATCCATCAAGATATTTTTATATTTTCTCCGCAATGGTCTTCAGTTTTCTTTTTATTTCTCCTATTTTGGCATATTTATTCAATGCAGAGATAGTCAGAGTCTTCCGATTGGGAATACTTGACAGTTGATTGATATATGGGCCAACTGTACAGTGTACATATCTAGGTAGAGAGGGGGGGGGAGGTAGGGCTAGGGGGAGGGGGAAGAGATAGAAAAACAGGGAGAAAAATAAATGTTGTCTGTGCAGACACATCATATGGGTAAACAAAAATATTGGAATATTTTTAGTTGGGGAAATATATATAAAAGGAGGAAAAGAGATGAGAAGAGATGAGAAGAGATGAGAAGAGATGAGATGAGAAGAGATGAGAAGAGATGAGAAGGAATGAGAAGAGATGAGAAGAGATGAGATGAGAAGAGATGAGAAGAGTTGAGAAGAGATGAGAAGAGATGAGAAGAGATGAGAAGAGATGAGAAGAGATGAGATGAGAAGAGATGAGAAGAGATGAGATGAGAAGAGATGAGAAGAGATGAGAAGAGAAGAGAAGAAATGAGATGATATTAGAGAAAAGGATTATCTAAGAAGAGATGAGAGAAGTAAAATCCTTGAGTTTCCTAGATATATTCTCTTGGATAGAAACTGGGTGGATATTCCCATTTCTATGTAAAAGAGTCTCAATAAATTGTCTCAATTGCTGCTCAGCTAAAATATAAATATCACAAATCTGCAACTATCTTCTCTCAAACACACACACACACACCATTAAATACACACACACATTATATCTTCAAGAAATGACTTAAACTAAAAATATATTGTTTACTAATATTTTGGATTAAGATTGGTTTAGACAATTTCTGAGCCGAGCACTGCAGCTATAAGCCTAAAATAAGCGCAACGGCTAGTACAGGAAAGAGGGTAAACGGTCAGGCCTCTGTATGCTAAAGATGTATTTATGTATTTAGTTTTTTTCTTTCAGAAAACAAAAACAAAAAAAAGATATGCTGAAGAACTAATTAATCGGCACAAACTCTGATTTTCCAACCCTTATATCTTCTCAACCTGATGTTGTAGACTTTAGATATTTCAAAGCATGAAATGTGGATGAAATAGTCAAAGTTTTAAATATTAAAGCAAAGCTAAATGGATTTGAAAAGTAGAGTTTGTGGCGATTGTTGAAATGATGAAGATTGTTGAAATGATGAAGATTGTTGAAATGATGAATATTGTTGAAATGATGAAGACTATTTGTAGATTGTGAACTATCTTTATAAATGAAGTGCAGTTAAATGTTGGACACCCCAAGAAGTCTGGGAACTCTGGTTTCCAAGGGGGGTACTAATGTCTGGGCACCCTGTAGAGTTTGATCAGCTATGTGTTGCTTTATATCAAAATCATGGAGCTCGAGCAATTAAATCAGATTGTTTCATTTCCAAGGGGAGGAGTAAGCATATATCTTACAGAGTAGCTTAGACTAGAAACCATATCAGGGGTGTCATGGGTCGGAGAAAATGAGAGGTGCCATAGGACATAGAATACAGGGGTATCATAGGACGGAGAATACAGGGGTTTCTTAGTACGGAGAATACAGGGTTTCATAGGACAGAGATTACAGGGGTATCATAGGACAGAGAATACAGGGGTTTTATAGGACGGAGAATACAGGGGTTTCATAGTACGGAGAATACAGGGTTTCATAGGACGGAGAATACAGGGGTTTCATAGGACGGAGAATACAGGGGTTTCATAGAACGGAGAATACAGGGGTTTCATAGGACGGAGAATACAGGGGTATCATTGAACGGAGAATATTAGGGGTTTCATAGGACGGAGAATACAGGGGTTTCAAAGGACAGAAAATATCAGGGGTTTCATAGGACGGAGAATACAGGGGTTTCATAGTACGGAGAATACAGGGTTTCATTGGACGGAGAATACAGGGGTTTCATAAGACGGAGAATACAGGGGTTTCATAAGACGGAGAATACAGGGGTTTCATAGGACGGAGAATACTGGGGTTTTTTAGTACGGAGAATACAGGGTTTCATAGGACAGAGAATACAGGGGTTTCATAAGACGGAGAATACAGGGGTTTCATAGGACGGAGAATACAGGGGTTTCATAGGACTGAGAATACCGGGTTTCATAGGACGGAGAATACAAGGGTTTCATAGTACGGAGACTACAGGGGTTTCATAGGACGGAGAATATTAGGGTATGGAAGGACAGGAAAGTATTTTAAAGCATTTTAAATCTGTATCTAAAAGACATTGGTAGATCAGAATATCTTGTTTATACGAATACATCACAAACATCTTGAAAACTTAAAATCGTCAAAAATTTTAAGCTGTTTTAATTCTAAAATGTATATTTTCTAAGATTGTATGTATGCAAGTTTATCTGGTTTTGGTCTGCATAATATAGCAGTTTGATCTAAAAATATTTCCGTATATACTCATAAAGATTAAACGCAAAGATAAACTAGACTCATACTTTCCATTCTTTTATTCTGGCTTTTATTATCTAGATCTACTTTTCTCTTTTTATTTAATAAACCTCATTCTATTTTTTTCTCATCATATGCATTCACTAATTTCTCATTTCAGTATTTACCAGAAAACTTATTATAAAGGAACTGAATTTTTTGCTACAAACTCAGATTTTTTTAATCCTTGAATTCTGACAGGTCAAATAATAGCTTTAGTTAGAAATATCAATGGTTTTCACCATCAGGTACCCAAGGTATAGGGACTAGAAAACCCCAGTTCCTTTGGTCCTGGTTTCTTAAATAATGAATAATAGATTTATTTGATTGGTTCTGTGTATTGTTTTGCCTTTAATAAAATAACATATTATAATATAATATAAATTTGCAAAAAGAAAAAAATCCGCAAAAGTTTTTAACTTTTCTTTCCAGCATTGTCTGATTTCTGACGAAAGACAGTTTCTGTTCCAGCATGGAACCATAGATACTATCCTAGTTTCTGTTCTAGCATGGAACCATAGATACTATCCTAGTTTCTGTTCTTGGACTATATATTTGTCAATGTACGTCCCTAGCACAATTCTCACAGTCACTGAATCATATTTTTGACAATATATTTTAACTTGTAATTTCACCATTTATCAGAATAGTGCATTAGGAACCTTTGTCTATAAAAAGAAGGTTACACATTTCTTTTAAGACCTATAAAATTAAATATTTGAAGGCATGTTGAAGTGGATTTGACTTAGAATTAGTTTTAAAATTTATAAAAGCTGCCAAAATATTACAGGTTTGTTTGCTGTAAATATTGAAAAGAAAATCAAACATTAACGGAAAAAGATGAATGAAAATAATCCCAAAAATCACATTTTTAATAAAGATGCAAAAATGGATTTGTTTCCTAAATATTCATGAAATCGTTTAAGATTTAGAAACAATTGTCAAATTTCTTGCTGTGTGATGAAAACCAAAACTCCGAGTTCAATAAAAGTATATTAATTAAATTCAAATTTTGTGATATGAATGAGTTAATATTAGCTCGACCATTAAACCATAAAAATGGAAAACCCTGATTATAAAATACAATGGCTGTAAGGTTGTAAAGGTGTAATAAACTAAAAACCAGAAAAAGAAATAATGGTTTCGAAAACTCTAAAGTGTGGAGAGTATAAAAATAAAACAGTAAAATTATGATGACTGTACTTCCCCTCGCTCAAACGACAGAATTTAAATATATTTTATTCTGTTTTATCTGTTATGTTATGTACATGGTATGTACTATAATACACATTGGTACATACACTTATGCATCGCTCTCATCAAAGCTATCAAAGGGTTCCTCAAGTTCATCGATTCGTACATCACCAAGGAAGGCAGCAGGGCCATGTCTAAATTAAGAGCGACCCATAATACTGTAATATGGCAAATTGTTTTTTTCAAATAGCTTAAAACTAAACTATGTAAGTAAAATGGGTCTGTGAGCACTGCACATGTTTCATGTTAATAATACTATATAAAAGTGTAACTTGAGTCGAACAATTCAACCTCTTTTATGGGTTCCGAAGTATTTCTTTATTTTTTTTACACATAAGAAACAACAAATTTAATGTCCTATCAATTCAATCTCCGGGTATGGTTAATTTAAGGGAAAGTATTTAGCTTTTGATTGTAAAATAGAACTTCAAAATGTTCAGTAAAGTTATAGAAGTACGTTGAACTTCAAAATTGTACAGGAAAACTTTAGAATGTACGGTCGAAGTTTAGATTGTATAGCGTAAAGTTTACAGTAAAGTACAGCTAACCTTTAAAATGTACAGAGGAACTTTAAAAAAATCGTTCACTGTACGGTTAAATTCTATAGTGAATGGAAATATAAAATGAAAAGTTTGAACCTTAAAAATACACTGTACAATACACTGTACAATACTCTGTACAATAGCCACTTTACCTAGTTGTTGTTGGAGTCCCTTTCTCTGATCCTGTAGTTGTACATGTGGTACATGATGATGATGTTGTAGCTGTACTTGTCATACTTTCATTTGATGTTTTCCTCATTCTTAACCTACCACAATAATCAAATACAAAATTTATTGATTCTTTTTTGGACATTATTTGGTATTTTGGGGTTTTAATCTTGTCGCTACATAAAATCAATTTCTATATGTTATATTGATCTAAACTGATTTGGAACAAGTATTTGAATTTTTTAAAACTATTGTCACGTGATGATGTCAAAGTTTAAAATATTTGTGAAACAAATTAAAGGATTTTGACCGAATAGAGTGTGATGACCAGCTCCATAATCTAGAGATATCAACGCTGCAAGGATTCGGGGACATGGACTCACAGACTGAAAATTAGATTAATCTCAATTACTCATTTCTGCAAAATGAGACCCACAAAACTATGGAATATGAAGACGACTTCCAATGAACATGAAACAGTTTATTGGTAAAATTATTGCTTTATAAAACACAACTGCTTAAATATGCTGTCGTCTTTCTAGTTCACATTTTATGGACAACATTTTATATTTAAACATTTTTTTAATTTAATTTATAAAAACCTGTTTTGATCGGATTGTCGTCTGATTTGTCAGAAATAGAAAATTGAACTTCATTCCTATTCCTTTGAATTTGGGACTTTACTCTTTCTCTAAAATAAATAGAAATCATTAAGTTATTTTATTTACTCTAATTTCGTATAAAAGAACGACTTCATTGTATAAATAGTTTTTAAAAATATTAACTAAGAAAAACTTGTCTTTTTATGTCTTTTGAGCTACTTAAAACTTAATGTTTCTTGTTCTTAGTCAGACAATTAACTTAAATTCTCACCTAACTTCCTAGTTAATGACTTCTTACCTAACTTCCCTGTAAAAGACTTTAGACTTATTTTCCTGGTTAAAGACTTCCCTCCTGGTTTGTCAGTTGAAGAGTTGAAGAATATTGACTAATTTCTCTTTTTAAAACTTCTAAGCTAACTTCACTTTAAAAGATTTTTCATTCAACTTTTCCTTTAAAGAATACTCAACTAACTTCCCCGTTAAAAACTTTCATCTAACTTCTCTATGAAAGACTTCTCATCTAACTTCTTTGTAAAAGACTTCTTACTAAACTTACGAACAACCTAACTAACTTAGCTTTAAAAGACTTCTCAACTATCTTTCTTTTGACCTAACTTTCCATACCTATCCCCTAATTTCACTTAAAAGACTTTTTTACCAAACTTCTCTGTAAAGGACATCTTAACGTCACTGATAATGACTTTGTATCAATCTTCTCAACTAATTTCTATGTGAAAAAAACTTCTTAACTAACTTATCGCTAAAAAGACTCCTTAACTAACTTGCAACTAAAAATACTTCTTAGCTAAAAACTCCTGACTTCTATAGGGATAACAAGAAAACTCTGGTATAGGAAGTCGACTTTTAGACTCAAGTTATGAACTTAAATAGTACAAGGAACATGAGACTCAGCAATTGTGCAATGTAAACAGATCCATTGCACTTAACAATTGATTAATAACTTACTAGTAAAGCTATTTGCGTTGTAACAGCATCTAATGTACTTCAGTATTGCTTTAATGTCGTCTTTTTATTCTACAATTTTCTGTTTATCCCTATATGTTAAACCTCTCACCTGACTTCCCTCTCCAGAGAAAATCTATCCTTTATCCTGTGAAAAAGCTGAATATACAGGTTGTATACTCGTACATTTGCTGTAAAAACAACAAACAAAAACACTCCCTGTAAACAAACATTAATTAGCTGACACCCTGTAATATTATAATAAGATTGAAAGTAATCTATATGTGTGTGTGTGTGTGTCCGAACATGACACAGGAAGGTCTAACACATTTGTCTCAAATTTTGTGGAACTCGGCAGAACTACGGATATGTTTGAAAATTTTAATGTGAGTGGATTGACTTTTATAATTATAGTTTAGTTTCCAGGCAAAGCTGGGTTCTCAAGCTTGTTTTTAAAGGGAGTGACCGGCTATGGAAGGTAGTTGAACTGAGTATGTAGTGTTGTGGAAAACTTAATTCGGATTCATTTAAGACATATTAAACTTTTTAAAGATCTGTAAATCCTGAGTTTGAGCGCATATTCGACGTTCAAAACTCCTACTTTGGGGGTGGATACGTTTTCAGAATTATTTTTTTTTAAATTATTAAATAACGATGACATAAAGTGTAAAAAGTTCTTCAATAAAATACAGACGTCATGTATTGGAACAGGTTAAAAAAATAAAAATAACCGTTATAATTAAAATAAATATAATATATTTATTTAAATTTATTTTTAGTCCTGAAAGGGTTCCTCATTTTCCGTGTGGTTTTCTGGAATTATTATTGAAAAGACGACATTTGAAGAATTTGACGAAATCTGCGAATAAATTCAAAGAAAATTAGAAATTCAATATAATAATAAAAACGAAATAATTTATTCTAGCATTGATTTATTGACAAATTTCTTTTGAGAAATATGTTCCCAACCATCTTATTAGATTACTGTATGATTTTTACTTTATTTTTCGTCGTCGTTATTTAGTAATTTAAAAAAACCGATTTTGAAAACGTATCTATCCCCAAAGTAGGAGTTTTGAACGTTGAATTTGCGCTCAGGAACAGGATTTACAGATCTTTAATTAGTTCAATATGTCTCAATTGAATCGGAAAGAAATTTTCCACAACACTGCATACTTAGTTCAACTACCTTACATAGCCGGTCACTCCCTTTAAATAAGATTGAATATTTTTGAAATATGAGAATATAAGATGCCTGTGGTAAACTGAACCCCCTCCCCCTTGCTATAGAAGATAAAGCAAGTATGTTTAAAAGCCTATATTAGCTGTGTACACAACCCTCGTGTTATATACATATATTTACACAATGCAGATAATTAGAGTAACACTTACACCAACATTAACGCAAGTTTAAAAATGTATACAGGCACAGTATTAACCAGAAAACAGTCGAATTATTTAAGTCGTTTCCCTTTTTTAATTAAGAGATATCGCTGAAGATTATGTAATTTGTAATATATGTCTATAAGTGTCCTGAGCCCGCGATTTAAAAACTTTGGCTCGACTTACGGAGTTAGGCCAAATGAAAATAAATCCGACATTAGTTGGTATTAGTGGAATTTAAGGCTCAATGTTGAGCCTTGTTCTCATCCTAATAGGAGAACTTTATAAACGGATCAAGCATTGATTAAAAAATTTAAAAGTGAACACATTGGATATCGAGATCAAGCTTTCTCTGAGCACATTTAAAGAAAGAAATCAGTAAAAAATTACAAAATGTTCAGTGACATTTAGAAATAAAAAGAATGAAAGACAACTGTTTTCTGATCACTACAGTATGTCAATGAGCACGGGCAGCCGTAGTACATTTAAATTTCCAAGCCGGGTCAACCTTTCCGGTCCCAGTTTGTACTGTATCGCCCGGACATTAGGTAAATAAAGCAGACACTGAATAGGAATAGCCTTGCAACAAGGTTGACGCGGTCAGACTTTAGGTTGAATTTACTTTTACTAAAGGGTCAGAGGTGCGTGTGAGATCCATGCAATTATGAAAATTAGGCATCAATTTTCAAAACCTTTGTTTTTATCTCTTACTAACTAACTCGACATACCTTTGTTTAATCCTAGACACGTACATTTTTCATTAAAGAAATACAACAATCTTGTTATAGTTTTTAAGAACTAATTGGCAAAATGCTGATAGATTTTTAATTGCCTGAGACTCTGCACATTATGAATCACTGTTACACGCACCCCTGACCATTTAGTAAAAGTAATTTCAACCTAAAGTCTGACTGCGTCAACCTTATTACACCGGCTAGTCCTATTTAGTGCCTGCTTTAATTACCCGATGTCAGGGCGATACAGTACAATTACTTTGATCGGAAAGGTTGACCCGGCTCGGAAATTCAAATTTACTACCGCTGCCCGTGGTTATGTCACCTGAACTCCGTTGAATATTACAAAAAGAAAAACAATAATTCTTTTAAGAACACACTCTTCTTGGAAGAAGAACGCGATTATCCCGAAGATCCAGGTGAAGCCGAGTACACTGAAGATACGGATATAGATGAACAGATCAGATTTCCCCCGGTCCTTGTGCTTCACGGACTCTACCACGGAGGAGACGTAGTTGATGCTGATCACAGTCAGGACGTAGAGCACGCTGTTCGTGAGTACAACGAAGAGCATGGGTAAACAGAAAAATATGAAGGTCGCCTGTTTCCGACCTGCAATAGTTAAAAGAACTATTCAGGTAAAATGAAAGGGGGTATTGGATCAAGCCTAAACATTTTAGGAGTTGATCGCAACCAATATTAGTTCTATCCGATATCCCTGTCTCGAGAAATTGACATAAAACTGTGTCAAAGTTATACCAAAATACCCCCTTTCATTCTACCTTAACAATCTCTTTGAGTGAAAAATAGAACTTAAAATATAAAATAGTTCTGTTACCTATCCAGCAGTTTTCAACTCCGTATCCAATAGAGAAATTTTGTAACATGTCAGTGTACTCTATGGTCACACTAAATATAACAATGCAGAGTGGAATACCGTACGCATAGGTCATATACTGGGGAAGATGTTCTCTTTTAGATCTGGACAAAAACATTATTAAAAACATTGTAAATTAAAAACGAATATAACAGAAGAGGCAAAAAAAACGACTTTTAATAGGTCAAATGGTGAACGAATATCACAGTTTGCTGGGATATTGACTGAACTGTTAAATTTGCGTGAACTGTTTCTTCAAATCTTTGTTGAAAATATACTTATTTTTCCATTTTTAATTTTTAGAATGACGGTTTCTCTGTAAAAGTGATTTATTGCAGGAAAGGAATTGAGTCTATGCCACAAACTCAAATTTTCTAATCCCTGTATCTTTGCAACCGGATGCCCGAAACTTTTAATATTTTTAACTTAGATTATTTGATTTGACAGAATTCATAGTTTGAAAAATCTAAGGTCTACGTTATTGGGTTGCAAAGATATAGGGATTAGTAAATAGGAGTTTGTGGCAAAGTCTCAATTCCTTTACAGAATTCTCTTTTAGTGATAGGATAGCAATGGTATCTTCCTCTTCATTTTTTAGACAAAAGTTTCAGCTGTTAATCGAGCATGTAGCATGTAGCATGCAGCATGTAGCATGTAGCATGTAGCATGAAGCCTGTATCATTAGCATGTAACATTTTAAAAGCAGGATCACTTGCAATGATGTCGGCATCTCTTTTATTATTTCAATTATTTAAAATATACAGCCATTGCTGTAAATCTCTTTGAAGAGAGGGTCTACGTCAGTTTCTTTAAAGGGACTGTAAAACTGTGTCAAAATTATACCAAAGCGGACATATGTCAGATTTTGTATAAAAGTTGTAGTATTAAACAGATCATATTATACAATTACGAACCAATCTGAAAACGATTATATCCCACAGGAGCCTGAAAATCTCATGTTTGCTCATATTATCATTTATTATTTTGCATTTTGCATTTGTAATAGAAATAATTGATAATATTATAATATATAGTCCGTATATGACAGTGCAGTATCGTTGTCACGTGGAACAGACGGAAATCACGTGATCAGTATACTGCACTGTCATTGGCTAAAGTACTGGTGACGTTCTACGGTCACGGACTATACGGATTAAATGTAATAATATTATCAATTATATCTATAAAAAATGCAAAATAAAAATTAAATCATTATAACAGGAGCAAACCTGAGATTTTCAGGTTGCTGTGAGATATAATCGTTTTTAGATTGGTTGCATAATTGTTGAATATGATCTGTTTAATACTACAACTTTTATACAAAATCTGGCATATGCACGTTTTGGTATAATTTTAACACAATTTTTCTAGACAGGAACATAAGATAGATATCGTTCAAAACCTGAAATTCTCAGGTTTTATCCTATACCCCCTTTCATTTTTCCTTTACAGTCCCTTTAATATGTTCAATTATTGATTTGTAAATGTCCTGTTCCTGATGTGAGACAGAATAGTTTTCTGTCCGAATGTTTTGTAGATATCCCAGGCCATAACGTTGTTCCAGGCGAAGATGGAGAGGTAGGTGAAGTGAAGGAAGACAGCAACTACTCTGCAGATTAATCCTTTAACTTCACTTCGTTCTCCAGCTAGGAAAACCACCTGCAGGTTCATAGAACACATTACAGGGGATAAGGATAGGACACAAAAATAATTTTTCTGTTAAATTATGAACTATTAATATTATTTTGAACTTTTAGACCAAACCAGAAAAATTGAACTCACAATAAAAAATACAAAAATATTAAAAGTTTTAAAAAAATTGTTAAATATTTACTTGTGATACAAGAATACTGGTGGCCAGGCACATTAGGTTGCATCCTGGAAGATTTCTAAAAACAAGATTATAATAAAATTCATAATTTAAAGAGAATGTTTGCAAAAAAAATGAAGAGATCGAAAAAATGATAAATCGATCTATCCGATGCATGTTAATGTGAAGTCGCAACTATACTATAGTTAAGAATTTACAGCTTTAAAAGTTGACTTTATCTCGAGAATACCTCGGCTTTTTAGACTTTTTATACAAGCATTGATCTCGAAAAAATATTGCATAAAATTGTGATGAAAAACTAGAGTTTGGCAATCCCATTTTCCCCCTAGTTCATAAAGTGGTATAACAGCTTGGGACAATACTTTGATTTGACATACGTAATCACGAGAAAAACTCGGCAAGAAAATTTGACAATAACTGAATTCTGAAAGTAAAAAGTCGAGTTTTGTTTGGTGGAGGCCATGTTTTTGAGGGGGGGGGGGGTTAAAACAAGAGCTATATATCAAAATTATCTTTACGAAAACAACAAGAAATGAGTACTGATTAGTTCATAATTCGATCATTTTCTTTAATTGTTCGCGAACAGTCCCTTTAAAAGGGAATGTAAGCGTGATTTCAAGTGACCCTACATGCAAAGATGGCAATGCCAGATTCACAATGGCACCCTTGAAGCATTTATCTGTTCTATAATGTGGAAGATGTTGTCGTTATTCTAGGTTTAAAAGTATTTACATCTCATTATTCCCATGATGTTTTCCTGCAGTAGAAAAGCACCAGTCACTTTTGTAGAGAAACCACAATTGAAATATTCAGTATTTAAAGTTTTAAACCGTGATATTTAATTCATACTTGATCAAACCAAGCTTTGAAGGGACCGTATTGGACATTGTTATCTTTGCATGCCACTTCAGTTTCAGTAGAAGTAAATATTTCCATTTACTGTTTAGCGCCGATTTAAGGATTCATCTCTAATTGGATAATGGGATATATAGAAAGATAGATACTACTGCCATGGGATTTCTATTGGTTCAGAATAGACACCAAACATATGACTTACCCTGATTGGATCAAGCTCTAATGTTATCGGCATACAGGAGTGTTGCATTAAGTAGCACTTAAAATTACACTAACATCCTCTTGTAACTTATTTTGTACCTGAGTACCCCGAATATAGAGTAAGTAAGTAGCGTGAATGCTAGGAGTATGATGGAAACTATATGTAGGAAAACACTGAGATAGGATTCTATTAAAGTTATCAGATCTGCTCCTCTCTAACCACCAGAATACCATTATTAAAATAGTAAGAAAATATTAAATCAATAATCATACACTGGGACCCATAAAACTGTGTAATAGGAAGACGATTGTAAGCAATCTTATGTACGTGTATCTGATGTTGTTTTAAAGCAAACAGTTTACCATAAGCTTGATAAAAGTAAATGAATCTGTGTACACTAAATAATGCTTTCGTGTTTCGTGTTCACAGTCGTCTTCCTTTTCCATAGTTTTCTGAGTTCCACTGAAAATATTGTATTATGATACTCATGGGTTCCTCGTAATAATGCCGGACACACACTTCAATCATACCGTCCCTGGTCATCCGGTATTCCCATCTAAATACATCACGATAAACAAACTAGATATAAGTATGTATACGATATACTAACTAGATATAAGTATGTCTACGTTAAACTAACCGGATATTAGTATGTCCACGTTAAACTAACCAGATGTAAGTATGTCCACGTTAAACTAACTAGATATAAGTATGTCCACGTTAAACTAACTAGATATAAGTATGTTTACATTAAACTAACTAGATATAAGTATGTTTACATTAAACTAACTAGATAAAGTATGTCCACGTCAAACTAGTTAGATATCAGTATATCCTGGAGGCTGTCTGTATCGGAACAATCAAGGTCAAGATATATTTAAGTTGGGGAAAATGCGGAAATGGGTTCGAAAGTAAAGATTCACTGAGTCACGGATCTTTTGTATTTGATCCCTTTAGAAGCACTAATCCGGAACTTTGGACTTCGACTAATGAAGTTTTGGATATTTTAAAAGGTCCGACCAATAAGAAATCACATAAAATCTACCCTGGACCAATGAGAGATCGCAAAAATCGCAAAAAAAGTTTTCGCTGTAGAAATTAAGTTTTATTAAATTATCTAAACCTGATTTTCAAAACTAATCTCTAAGTGAAATTAATTATCTAAACAAATCATTCTACCTTTGATATTTTTGTTTAACACCAAATATTCCTCCTTCATAGATAAGAGAACCATCCTTAATATTTTACACAAATTACAAAAGTGTATTCTTACTGCCACCTTAAAAAATCCTTTTTTGTTTTTCAAAATTTCTCTTTTACCTTTTAAAAATATGATTTTATTCTTGATTCAAACATTTTAAATGAAATTCTATCAGAGATTAATAAAATCTTTAGTTTATGAAATACGATGAAAGATTTATGAAATTCAATTAAATTTATGAAGTTCCATTAAAAAATTATGAAATTTTATTAAGGATTTATAAAATTCTAGAAGGTCTTTTTCGACCAATAAAAATTAAAATGTAAAATATTTGTTCTACCTGACTCCACATAAAACTGCTGGCATTAAATTGTACACGGGAACAAAAAGTATCGTTGATATACGCCCTGATAAAATAAAAATAAAATATTTTAATTTTCATAGAAACTAAGCTTTTAGGGCGCTCGCTTTGCACCCATCCTCTATTTTAGCTTTTAATGTTGGCTCTATCTGTGAACATCTTCTCTTTGTACAGTATAAAACAATAACAAACAAAAGTTCGCGGATTTTCAAATATTTTTTCGCGTATTTTTAAAATTTTACAAAACTCAAAAGCTTTTGGATACAACTTTTTGTAATTTGAGCATCCCTAAACCTTACCTATGGTCATGCAAGGTCCCACAGAAAATTTTGGCCTGATCGATTCAGCTGTTTTGACGTTTATTGGATACAAACAAACAACCAAGCGAAGTTTATAAAGACTAGCCTTAGAGGGCGCTTCGCGCCCATCTTCTAAATTAATTGTGAACATGTTCTCTTTGTGTACATCGTAAAACAAAACAAAAATAATTCGCGGATTTTCACAAAAAATTTCGTGGATTTTCAAAATTTTCAAAAATTTAATGGAGATCGAATTTTGATGGAGACAAATATTTAAAATTTCAATCATTCATAAACCTTCCCTGGGGTCCCTAGATGTCCCAAAAAAAATTTGGGCCCGATCGGTTCAGCCGTTTTGACGTTTATTGGATACAAACAGACAGACAGACAGACAAGCCAAATTTATATATAGATAGATATATAGATAGATATGAAAATATTATCAAAGGCTGATAATTGTTCATAAGTTCATTTTACTGAATGGTAAGTTGGTTTTAGAACAAATATCTACTGCTTAAAAAATGCAAGAAAATTAAGATTAAAGTTTCCGAATCAATAACATTCAAATATCCAGGTTGGTTTTGAATATATCTGGATCGAATTTCTGGGACAAATCCAGTATACCTGTTATCACATAAAGTGATTACCCCACTCTAGTTAGCATCTACCTGTTATCACATAAAGTGATTACCCCACTATAGTTAGCATCTACATGTTATCACAGCTAGTGATTACCCCACTATAGTTAGCATCTACCTGTTATCACAGAAAGTGATTACCCCACTATAGTTAGTATCTACCTGTTATCACAGATAGTGATTACCCCACTATAGTTAGCATCTACCTGTTATCACAGATATTGATTACCCCACTATAGTTAGCATCGACCTGTTATCACAGATAGTGATTACCCCACTATAGTTAGCACCTACCTGTTATCACAGATAGTGATTACCCCACTATAGTTAGCATCTACCTGTTATCACAGATAGTGATTACCCCACTATAGTTAGCATCTACCTGTTATCACAGATAGTGATTACCCCACTATAGTTAGCATCTACCTGTTATCACAAATAGTGATTACCCCACTATAGTTAGCTTCCATCACATTAATAGGATTACTCTGGAACAGTATGTTTGCTATAAAATCACTGTCATGGTAAACTTTCCCGGTTTTTCTGAAACAAACACATTTAGGCATTATTTAAAAAATAGTTTAAGTATCTTTGTTATTGGGTTTTGTCGAAACTTTCATCTTCGATCAAATGTTTTCGATCATTCGGATTCGATGTTGCGACCAAAATGTGGCCAATTCAAATCATTCATCCAGTTTTCATATGGATTCTAAAGCTGCAATTTTGAGAAGGCACTAACTACTTGCCAATAGCTTTGCAAATTGATTATGTAAATCGTTAATTTTTCAGACTTTTTGATCCAAAGTTTGGAATATCAAAGATATCTTTCATAAATAGTTTACTTGATCGTAGCAATGAGTTCCAGATCATAGGGAGATCCTCCTCCTCCTGGTCCTGCTCCTCCGAACGTATTCCATCTTTTATCCTCCAGAATATCAAGAGTCTCATTCACAATATTTATCTCAAACTCACCAGACATAAAGTTCCTGAAAAGGAGAGTTCATGAATTCTGATAATAGGGATTCAATGATATTAACAGGGGGGGCTGGTAGTTAACTACCTGCCTACCTGTATACTATTAACAGGGGGGGTTGGTAGTTAACTACCTGCCTACCTGTACACTATTAACAGGGGGGGCTGGTAGTTAACTACCTGCCTACCTGTATACTATTAAAGGGGGCTGGTAGTTAACAACCTGCCTGCCTGTATCGCCTGATTGTACACTTAAGACAGTTTAATAACAAAGAATATAAAGAGATTAGCTTACATCATCACTCTATATATTAAAACCTCGTTGATAATTAAAAATTAAATTATGCGTAGATTTATAATACTTTTGGTTAGATCTGATTTTCTATAAAAAGATTTTGAGAAAAAATCTGTTTACAAATCTCTGCAAGTGCTGAACAGCTGGTATGAGTGCACTGGTCTGCACAACCTGATTATACCAAATTTGTTGTTCGGTTATTATCCTTTGTTAAGTTTTTGTCAATTGCGCTTTAAGAAAAACATCAGATAAAAAGAAGTATAGAATCTACTCTTATTTTTTTTCATGATTCGTCCCATACAGTGTACCTGCACTCCTTTCAAAATTCATAAAAATTCCTTCTACACAGGGTTAAACATGCAAATGATTTTTTTTTTAATCCTTGAATTTCAATTATTTCCATTTTTGCCTGATATCCCCGTCCCTACACCATTCAATAAACTGTTCTTCAGTGTAAACATTCTTCTCACCCAAACTCACAAACTAATAAAAATAAAAACTATTAAGGGAGTGACCGCCAATGTATAGTAGTTGAACTGAGAATGCAGTATTGTAGAGAAATTATTTCAGGATTCCTTCGGATGCCTTTGGGACTTATGAGACGTTTTTAAGATGCATTTTTGTTTAGCAAGGGCGCAAATTCAATTTTTTAAAACCGTCATAAATTGTTCCTTTTGAAGGGATAACAAAAATTCTACAGTAAACTAATTTAATGTTAAGGAACATATTTCTAAATAGAAATTTGTCAATAAATCAATGTTAAAATAAATTATTTCCTTTTTCTAATTTTTCTCCAGAATACTACATTCTTAGTTCAACTACCATACATTGTCGGAGCTTTTAACGTTGTAAATCGGACCAGGGTCAGTTGAAATTACTGTACAGTCCCTTTAAACAAATATTTTCTTTATATTTACCTTGACTGTGATGGAACCTAACTCTAGGATAAATGAGTTTTCTCTTATAAAGTTTGCCATGGAAGCAACAATCTCATCTGTCCCTTTCTCATCAGGTGGACCTTCCTGGATTAACAGAACATCCAAAAAAATGATGATGATGATGATGATGATGATGATGATGATGATGATGATGATGATGATGATGATGATGATGATGATGATGATGATAAAATTTCCTAAAATACAAAAATTTAAGGGGCATAAAGGGTTCATAAGTTAAGGCTCACTGACGTTTAACCTGAACCCCTAGGTTCTGTTGCAAAGATAAAGTGATTAAAAAATCAGAGTTTGAGGCGAGTAATGAGTTACTTGTTTGACCTGAATAATAAAATAAATCTCGAAAATATGAAACTTGTTCTTCGTTTTGTTAATAACAGAGGACACGATCTCTTCCATCTCGTCCTTGGAGAGCTGGTCCGTGTCCTCCCACATCCCGGACTTCTTGAGGACATAGATAGCAGATATAATCTCGACCTCTATCTCAGCAGGTTGTCGACTTATTCCATGAACTTCCTCTTTGTAGATGATGGAAATATTTGTGATCCTAGAACAATCCTTTTTTACTTTGTGTCATTTCATGTTTTTAAAATTATGTTTATTTATTTATGTTTAAGTTACTCTCAGGATCCTCAGGACTCGGAACTGAAAACTTTTGTATTAGATAACCCTAGTTCTGATTTCTAAATCTCTGTATCCATTTTCGACACTTTTTATTTTCTGCTTAATCATCTCTTTTGGATATCCCTGCTGTCTACGAACCAGTAATAGTTCTCTTATTAATTAAGTTTTCGCGCTGTTTGGTTTCTACAATCATTTCCTGATTGGTAGCCAAAGAGAATAGAATATATATTAGAGTGGGATTTACTAGAAAAAAGTGTAAAACGGCCATTTTGTTGTACTGTTTCCATACTCCAGGTGTACTTCACATATTTGTGCTATATTAACTTTTGGGCCCTGGAACATCATTTTATAGAAAATCTAAAATTAATATTAAAAGAAAACCAAATTATGAAATAGGCTGGTTTCATAATTGACCAATGATCATTTCACATATACTATATGCCTTTCACTTTACAAACGATGATTTTCCGTTATAACTTTAAATCAAATGATGTTTTTTATTCACCTAATTCATTATAAAGTTTATTTAACAGTTTTAAAAAATTCGAAATTGAAATGGATAGTCTAGGGAACTTACTGTATTAATGTACTATACTGCATAACATTTGTGAACATTTACATGAATTGTACACTTTGAACTCCCTTTCAGGCTGAAAGGGACTGACAAAATTCATACCGAGGGATTGTCTAAATTCCTCTCTAATATATATTTTATTCTCTTTGTTGGTAGCAGTTTAGACAATTTCGATCCTGGATATTTACTTAAGATAAAATTAGTCTTTAGATTAATAAAAAAGAGGAGATCAAGCATTGATCTCGATATCCACAATTCTAAAGTTTTCAGGGGGAATATATAATAGAATTTCTGATTGTTGTCATGATAATCTTTAATATTTAGGAATACATTTCAAATCAAATCTAAATATTAAGCACTTTTATCTGTGATCGATTTTTTTCTTTATATTTTCTTAGTTTTTTTCGACATTTTTGTTTTCGGCTTTTTTGATTTCTTTTTATTTTCTTTTTGGCTCTTTTTGTTCCAATAATAGCATGACAACACTTCATTAGGCAGAAACTAGAACAGATTAGAACTTTTTACGCAGTTATGATATCTAAATTTAAAAGTATTTAATATTGGAGACGTTTTTATATCACAGCGTTCATTAGAGGGTGTCACAGCATATCTAATGTTAAATATTCAAGCCAACGCATATATTCATCCCAACATATATTTTTGGTGTTCCAATTTCAGGATGTCTAATTAATATAATAAACACATATCTAATAAGAAACGTCCCAATATATCTTTATGTTTTGAAAATGATTTTTTAGGGTGGCCCAATACTTTTTTAATACATTTCTAATTTTCCCGCGATCAAATCTTTAGTGATGAAATGAATTAATCAAGATCTTGATCACATTACCCCAAAATTTTAAAGTTGTCATAGTGGATATAACAGTTTATATAACAGTTTTGACCTCTGGACTGAAACATATTTAAAACCAATGGTCGTCTTCTATTTACCTGTTCGGATCTATAATCATATCTTGAGCAAGCGTGGTTGCAAAATCAGTTCTGAGAATCTCAATGATCTCATCAATACTAAGAGTATTGTTGTTAGCAGAAAGCTCTAGGGTCATGTTAATCAGAATCTCCTCACTAGGGAAGGAAACATGAGGAACGTCATCCCTAGAAAATCAGATTTGGGAAGTTTAAATTGTTTTTATATTCTGGGATTTATTCCTAGTTCAATAGCTGGAGATTGAGACGAAATTGATTGCTTGCCTAACACTTTAATTTTCTTAACAGTATATCTTTAAAACTTGATGTCGTATAAATCTTTCAAATTCGAAATTTCAAAATCTGTTAGATAAAATAGTCCAAAAAAGGGTCTCTTTACAAAGATAAAGGATATAGAAAATTAAAGTGTTTGCGATTGCGATTAAAGTTTCTTTCCAGGCAATAATAAAATCGATATCTTGATATCAATGCAAGAAATAATGTTTTTTTAAATGTTTGTTTTTATCCAATTGAGCCCGATTTTTTGAACAACCGCACATGCAAGGTTTATGATCAAAATTGGAAAGTGTCATTCCAAAATTTTATTTAATTTTTCGAATTTTGAAAGTTCATTCATTAAAACAGTAAAATCTGCAACATTCTGATATTAATTCATGATGTAAACAAAAACAGGCAGGATAATTACTATAAAGAGGAGTGCAATATATTAGAGATTAATTATTAGAAGTGTTGGAGATTAAAATCCTAGTACCTGGATACATTACTTGGTGTTCCTTTACACTCATACTCCACTAGAGTCAGGTCTGTTGCACAATAAATATCTCGACAAACCTCAGAGAATGGATCCCATATCTGGGTATCCTAGAACATACATTATTATACTAAGTATACTATACATAGAACCCTATATCTGGGTATCCTAGAACATACATTATTATACTCAGTATACTATACATAGAACCCTATATCTTGGTATCCTAGAACATACATTATTATACTCGGTATACTATACAGAGAACCCTATATCTGGGTATCCTAGAACATACATTATTATACTCAGTATACTATACATAGAACCCTATATCTGGGTATCCTAGAACATACATTATTATACTCAGTATACTATACATAGAACCCCATATCTGGGTATCCTAGAACATTCATTATAGTATACTATTCAGAGCTGAGAACGTTCCGAAAAAACAAGGTTCTAAAAATCCTTGGTCAATGCTACAAAACCAAAAAAGATTTAGAATGTAATACGATTAGCTTAAATCATCTTTGTAAAGTTAATTATATAACTCACCCCACAGCCATGGTCAGCATTAGCTGTAGAATAAAGGATATGGCTGTGGTCCGTTCCATAGTTGATAAGGATGGATATGGATCCGGGCATACTCGACTTCTCCGAGTTAGTCACAACACTGCTGATAATATCGTCAACACTAAACTTAGATCTGTAGTTCACTAACCGACCTGAAACTAATAAACAATTAAGAGAAATTAAAAGTTAAGAAAAGTTAGAATTAATTAATCAAATGTATTTACCGAGCTCTGGCTGGTCCCAGCTTTTTCCATCTGTAATAATCAGTAAATCATTGAGATGTTCTTGTTTTGATTCAAGAGGAGGGTTGATAAGATCTTCTTGTTCATATCCAAGAGGAGAGCTGACAAGATCTTCTTGTTCAGAATCGAGAAGAGAACTCAGAAGATCTTCTTGTTCATATCCAAGAGGAGAGCTGACAAGATCATCTTCTTGCTCAGTTTCAAGAGGAGAGCTGCCAAGAACTTCCATAGATTTAAAAGAAGTACTAATAGAAATATTTTGATCAGGATCAATGTAAGAGCTGATCAGATCTCCATGTTCAGGTTTGGGAGAGGATGAGCTGGAGAAAGGTTGATAACAAGATACGGAAATACTATGTTCTAACCCGGCTAAATTCTAAAAAAAATCAATCAGGACAAAATAGAAACATTGTTTTTAACAATCAATATTTCTGTACACACTCTCTACCAGCTCTTCACCAACATACATCTGAACAAAACACTCAATATTTCTGTACACAATCTCTACCAGCTCTTCACCAATATAATCTGAACAAAACAATCAATATTTCTGTACACACTCTCTACCAGCTCTTCACCAACATACATCTGAACAAAACACTCAATATTTCTGTAAACACTCTCTACCAGCTCTTCACCAACATACATCTGAACAAAACAATCAATATTTCTGTACACACTCTCTACCAGATCTTCACCAACATACATCTGAACATAACAATCAATATTTCTGTAAACACTCTCCACCAGCTCTTCATCAACATACATCTGAACAAAACAATCAATATTTCTAAACATACTCTCTACCAGATCTTCACCAACATACATCTGAACATAACAATCAATATTTCTGTAAACACTCTCTACCAGCTCTTCACCAACATACAACTGAACAAAACAATCAATATTTCTGTACACACTCTCTACTAGCTCTTCACCAACATACATCTGAACAAAACACTCAATATTTCTGTACACAATCTCTACCAGCTCTTCACCAACATGCATCTGAACAAAACACTCAATATTTCTGCACACACTCTCTACCAGCTCTTCACCAACATACATCTGAACAAAACAATCAATATTTCTGTACACACACTCTCTACCAGCTCTTCACCAACATACATCTGAACAAAACAATCAATATTTCTGTACACACTCTCTACCAGCTCTTCACCAACATACATCTGAACAAAACAATCAATATTTCTGTAAACACTCTCTACCAGCTCTTCATCAACATTCATCTGAACAAAACAATCAATATTTCTAAACATACTCTCTACCAGATCTTCACCAACATACATCTGAACATAACAATCAATATTTCTGTAAACACTCTCTACCAGCTATTCATCAACATACAACTGAACAAAACAATCAATATTTCTGTACACACTCTCTACCAGCTCTTCACCAACATACATCTGAACAAAACACTATTTCTTATGTTTTTAAAATAAGTTTTGAATTGCGTTAATTCTAACTATCTCCAAAAAGAAGACTCTAAAGTATCTGGAAAGGAATTGATTTTTTGCCACAAACTCTTACTTTATAACTCCTATACTTTTTAAATCCAATGTCAAGGACCTAAGATATTTCAAATTATAAATTCTGTTAGATCAAATAATCTAAGTTTGAAATATCGAAGGTATAAACCATCAGGTTGCAAAGATATGGGAATTAGAAAATTTGAGTTTGTGTCAAAGAGTCAATTCTTAAAGTTAGACAACCTTACTCTGAAAGTCTTTGTCCTCATAGTATTTTTTAAAACTTTGCTACAACTAAAATGTACATTATTTTATATTTTTTTTTGATTTTTAGGTTTTTAGATATTTAGTCATGGACGTAATGGCGGCGTATTGAGTTGGCGCATTACCGGTTTTTGATTGATTGATTGGTTAGCCTGTGAATGAGTGAAGTGTGAAATGTACAGTGGTCTGGCAGCTGATAAATCCTCAAACATTATTTACCCCGGTCACGTGACAAGGGCTAAATTACCTCTAATAAAGTCATATCTCTCAGTTCTAGCAGCAGTCCATCCTTCTCTATCAAATTTAACTATCTGTCGATATATCTATCTCAGGTTTAACTACACAACATTTATCTTGGAGGGAAAAATGTCTGGGCAACGGCATTACTATAAAATAGTGGAATTTATAAACTTAACCCTACCAAGCATGGCCTTGGACAAGGAATAAGAGGGGGTGGGGGTGTAAACTAACCTGAACAAGAATGGGTTGAATGTAAGAATTACATTTTTTCCTCAAATAATTACTTCCAGAAGTTTTAGAACACTCTTTCAGATCAGGAACGCAAATCCTAGTACAATAACTTTTATGAATTTTAACATTTTTTATTGAAAATAGATCTAAATGAGCTAATCGCTCCTTCTCCTTCCTCTTCCTCTTCTCCCCCCTCGTTTTAATATTTGATAGTCCTTCCTTAAACCCACATGGTTGCTGTAGACAACCCGCTGCTCTCCAATCCTTCCCCCGAGGGAGACGATATGCAGACTGCAGTTCCTTCTCCTTTGAATCCACGTGGTTGTCAATGACAACCTGGCACTCCCCTCCCTCCAACATAGAATCTGCATGGTTGTCTAGTACGTACTGAAACTCCTACCCCCCACCCCATCCCTTTCCTTGACTCCGAGTGTTTGTCATTGACAGCCTGAAACTCACCCATTTCCCTCTCACCTTGAACCTACATGGTTGTCTACGGAATACTTGACCCCCCACCCCCACACCTTGAATCTATATGGTTTTTAATGACAACCTAGAACTTTCCCCCCTTACCCCCTACCACCTAGAATCTGCGTGGTTGCCAATAACTCCACTTAGAATCCACATGTTTGTCAATGACAAATGGAACTCCCCCCCATGCCAATTAGAGTCCGCATTCTGCATGGTTGTAAATGACAACCTGTAAATCCCCCAACCCTCCTAGAATACACGTGGTTGTCTAGGACAACATAGAGCTCCCCCCTCCCACCTTGAATCCACGTGGTTGTCTAAGACAACATAGAGCTCCCCCGTTCCACCTTGAATCCACGTGGTTGTCTAGGACAACATAGAGCTCCCACCTTGAATCTACATGGTTGTCTAGGACAACATAGAGCTCCCCCCCTCCCACCTTGAAACCACATGGTTATCGAAGACAACATAGAGCTCCCACCTTGAATCACCACATGGTTATCGAAGACAACATAGAGCTCCCACCTTGAATCTGCATGGTTGTCTAGGACAACATAGAGCTCCCCCCTCCCACCTTGAAACCACATGGTTATCTAAGACAACATAGAGCTCCCCCCTCCCACCTTGAATCCACATGGTTGTCTAAGACAACATAGAACTCCCCCCTCCCACCTTGAATCCGCATGGTTGTCTAGGACGAGTTTCAACTCTTCAGTAACGTTCTGTTCGACCCAGCAGAGAACACAGAACTGGTTCTTGAAGAACAACTTCCAAACTAGAAAATTCATTCTTAGAAAAGTATAAGATTATACTTAAATTTTTATCTTACACCAACATTAAATCATGAATGATATCTTTTTAGGAACAACACTTTTTGGTGGAAATGCCACGGTCTACAGTTCTGATCTTAGAGATGTAAAAATACCTTTTTTTGGCCCGACAATGGACCTAAAAATGACTTGCATTTCATATTCGCATTGAGATAATATCTATTTGACTAAAATAACACAGCTTCACTAGAAACGACTTAGTAATCATAGTTGAAATTTATGTGTGAGAAGTGGTTGAATTAACGTCTGAACTGGCAACGGCTGGATGAACTACCGCTCTCTTTCATAAAATCCAACCTCTAGTAATTTTAGAATTTATATAAAATCACTTGGATGAAAAGCTGGTGGATCAGTGATTAGCTCGCAGAGAAGAGAATGAGGACAGTCGGGACTTGTGTTCTGAAAATATACTTCTCCTTAAACCTTAAATTTTAAAATCTTATATTTTGAAAACTCTTTAAGGGCATTAAGTTGCAAGGATATATGGATAAGAAAATCAGAGTTTGTGGCAAAGAATCAATTCCTCTCTCGGATTTAAGAGATATATATATTTGTAAAGGAATTGAGTGTTTGTCACAAACTCTAACTGATAATCTAATCCATTATGACCTTAAATATTTCAAGAAATTAATGCTGTTAGTTCAAATAATCTAAGTTTGAAATATCAAAGGTTTACACCCTCAGGTTGCTCAGATAAAGGGATTGGAAAATTTAAATTTTTGGCAAAGACTTAATAATTTGAATTTGTTTTTTCTCTGAGTTTGTCGTAAAAAAAATTAGGATTTGATATGTGTTTAAACCTTGATGATAAGATAATTGATGTATTAATATCAATTTAGAACATTTTTCAGTGCATAATATCACAATTTGCAATGAATTTTTTTGTAAAAAAATAGTAGCTTAGATTTAAAACTTTAAAAAGTTCATGAATACGTTGTCAAATCATTTAGGTAACAATCTGCAAACATATTTTACTTTTGGCGATTTAAAAAGAAACGAGTAAAACACTTAAAATCAAAAAATGTATTTTCTCTTAATTTAATATGAAGTAAAAAGGTTTAACCTGCGGGCAGTGGGAAAGAGCATACTTCCCTGTTGATCCTTGAGTTCTAAAATATTTTCATGATTTTTAGTTTTTTTTTTATTTACTTTTGCAGACTTTGGACTGAAATTGTTTGTGATTTACCTTTTGCAGACTTTGGACTGAAATTGTTTGTGATTTACTTTTGCAGACTTTGGACTAAAATTGTTTGTGATTTACTTTCAGACTTTGGACTGAAATTGTTTGTGATTTACTTTTACAGACTTTGGACTGAAATTGTTTGTGATTTACTTTTACAGACTTTGGACTAAAGTTTTTCTTCATCCCATTTTTTTATGTTTTTATTCTACCAACATGAAAACAGCCTAGACGTTTAATCTACAAGGCAAAAAAAACATTTTGATCTACTTTTGAGGGGAAATTCTCTTTTTTCGACGGATTTTGAATTAGAGATCAAAATAGGACTGAACATATTCCGATATAGAGTCCGACAGGATGAACTTCGTTGTAACTTTTTGTTAGTTTCACGACGGGAGTGTAACCTACCTACAGGAGAACAGACTGGATCTAGTCACCTATCCAGATTAGTTTCACGACGGCAGTGTAACTTACCTACAGGAGAACAGACTGGATCTAGCCACCTATCCAGATTAGTTTCAGGACGGCAGTGTAACTTACCTACAGGAGAACAGACTGGATCTAGCCACCTATCCAGATTAGTTTCAGGACGGCAGTGTAACTTACCTACAGGAGAACAGACTGGATCTAGCCACCTATCCAAATTAGTTTCACGACGGGAGTGTAACCTACCTACAGGAGAACAGACTGGATCTAGCCACCTATCCAGATTAGTTTCACGACGGGAGTGTAACCTGCCTACAGGAGAACAGACTGGAACTAGCAAAATATCCAGATTAGTTTCACGACGGGAGTGTAACTTACCTACAGGAGAACAGACTGGATCTAGCCACCTATCCAGATTAGTTTCACAACGGCAGTGTAACCTACCTACAGAAGAACAGACTGAAACTAGCCACCTATCCAGATTAGTTTCACGACGGGAGTGTAACCTACCTACAGGAGAACAGACTGGAACTAGCCAAATATCCAGATTAGTTTCACGACGGCAGTGTAACCTACCTACAGGAGAACAGACTGGATCTAGTCAAATATCCAGATTAGTTTCACGACGGGAGTGTAACCTGCCTACAGGAGAACAGACTGGAACTAGCCAAATATCCAGATTAGTTTCACGACGGCAGTGTAACCTACCTACTGGAGAACAGACTGAATCTAGCCAAATATCCAGTTTAGTTTCACGACGGGAGTGTAACCTACCTACAGGAGAACAGACTGGATCTGCTTTGTAGGATTGATGGAAGAATATCTTGTGTACATTCTCTAAACATTCTTTTTTTGTAAATATTCGTAAATATTTTTAATTGTACTCTTACATCCAAAAGTACCAAAAGATCGATTTTTCAGAAAAAAATTTAATTCTTGTCTTTGTTGCTCCATAGTTACAAAATACAAAAAAGTTAAACAGCGAAACAATGATTAAATTTGTGTGTGGTATATCAGCAAATCCGGCAAACTTTACAATTTGGTTTTCGGGTCTCTCGATCTTTTTGTTTTTTTTTTCTACTTACTCCGTATAATCCTTACAACAATCCCCGAAGAAACTGCAGCTGGAGTCACAAGCACAGGAGTAGGGGGGAGATATCGTAGAACCACATCTAGACCTAGGAACAATATGGATATTGTAGATCTTCATCTAGACCTAGGAACAATATGGATATCGTAGAACCACTTTCGACCTAGGAACAATATGGATATTGTAGAACCACTCTATACCTAGGAACGAATATGGATATTGTAGATCTACATCTAGACCTAGGAACAATATGGATATTTTAGATCTACATCTAAACCTAGGAACAATATGGATATTGTAGATCTATATCTAGACCTTGAAACAATTTGGATATTGCAGATCTACATCTAGACCTAGGAACGATATGGATATCGTAGAACCACTTCTAGACCTAGGAACAATATGAATATTGTAGATCTACATCTAGTCCTAGGAACAATATGGATATTGTAGATCTACATCTAGACCTATGAACAATATGGATATTGTAGATCTATCTCTAGACCTTGGAACAATATGGATATTGTAGATCTATCTCTAGACCTTGGAACAATATGGATATTGTATATCTATATCTATACCTCGGAACAATATGGATATTGTAGATCTACATCTAGACCTAGGAACAATATGGATATTGTAGATCTATATCTGGACCTAGGAACAATATGGATATTGTAGATCTACATCTAGACCTAGAAACAATATAGATATTGTAGATCTGCATCTAGACCTAGGAACAATATGGATATTGCAGATCTACATCTAGACCTAGGAACAATATGGATATTGTAGATCTACATCTAGACCTAGGAACAATATGGATATTGCAGATCTACATCTAGACCTAGGAACAATATTAATATTGTAGATCTACATCTAGACCTAGGAACAATATTGATATTGTAGATCTACATCTAGACCTAGGAACAATACGGATATTGTAGATCTACATCTAGACCTAGGAACAATATGCAGATCTACATCTAGACCTAGGAACAATATTAATATTGTAGATCTACATCTAGACCTAGGAACAATATTGATATTGTAGATCTACATCTAGACCTAGGAACAATACGGATATTGTAGATCTACATCTAGACCTAGGAACAATATGGATATTGTAGATCTATATCTAGACCTAGGAACAATATGGATATTGCAGATCTACATCTAGACCTAGGAACAATATGGATACTGTAGATCTATATCTGGACCTAGGAACAATATGGATATTGTAGATCTTCATCTAGACCTAGGAACATTATGGATATTGTAAATCTACATCTAGACCTAGGAACATTATGGATATTGTAGATCTACATCTAGACCTAGGAACAATATTGATATTATAGAACCACATCTAGACCTATGAACAATATGGATATTGTAGATCTACATCTAGACCTAGGAACAATATGGATATTGTAAATCCACATCTAGACCTAGGAACAATATGGATATTGTAAATCTACATCTAGACCTAGGAACAATATGGATATTGTAGATCTATATCTAGACCTAGGAACAATATGGATATTATAAAATCTACATCTAGACCTAGGAACAATATGGATACAGTAGATCTACATCTAGACCTAGTAATAATATGGATACAGTAGATCTACATCTAGACCTAGGAACAATTTGGATACAGTAGATGTACATCTAGACCTAGGAACAATATGGATCTATGAAATGTTTTAAAAGATGTATTAAATAAAAACCTGCATTGAGTGAACTCATTACAATCTGGTCTTCTAAGGTTGGAACGAATATGTTCCAGTAGAAAGATAAAAAGTATTCCTTCCCGGAACATTTTTCCTATATTTTCATACCCTCTTAAAAAAATTGGGGTTAGAGAAAAATAAAAAAAAAATTAAATAGAAGAGTCACGTTTAAATCCTTTATGAAACTGATTACTCGCCAATGTCTCTAATTTTCGAATTTTTATATCTTTGTAACAAACTAAGAATTCTGCTTGAGATAAAAAAGTAAAATTTTTAAGAGTTTGCTCTATCTGCTATAGAGCAGTAGAGCAGTAGAGTTTGTTGCGAGTAATTAAAAAAGCGGGATGCCTGATTCACAACGGTGCCTCTCAAACCCTGTACACGATTAAAAATGTGGGAGATAACGTCGTTTTTTAATCTGAAAAGGGATGATTTGCACAGTTTCCTACTTTGTTTCTGTAGCATGACTTTTTATTATAAACCCCAGGATACCATTGTGAATTCAGCATGTCACACTATAAATAGGGAGTCATTGGAAATTACGCGTAGAGTCCCTTTATTATAAAAAGAAGTGTTTAGAAAAAGCAGTAAACCTAGACTGTTGGAAAACTGGGAATATGGCTAGATATATAGATATAAATATACTCAAACAAGTAAGCAAACATATGTATTAATTGTTATTATTTACTGCCATGCAGTACACTTTATGTAAACAAAGGTGTTTGGGTTTCGGGGTGCATCTTTCTTGTCGTACATTTTGGATAATTCAAACAATCAAACTCAACAGTTTTAAATATTTCGAATTTTTGTTTTTCTGTTGCAGTCTCGATCCAGTGAAGCTTGTATTTGTCTCAATTTGTTAAGTTGAGGTGTANGATAGATAGATAGATAGATAGATAGATAGATAGATAGATAGATAGATAGATAGATAGATAGATAGATAGATAGATAGATAGATAGATAGATAGATAGATAGATAGATAGATAGATAGATAGATAGATAGATAGATAGATAGATAGATAGATAGATAGATAGATAGATAGATAGATAGATAGATAGATAGATAGATAGATAGATAGATAGATAGATAGATAGATAGATAGATAGATAGATAGATAGATAGATAGATAGATAGATAGATAGATAGATAGATAGATAGATAGATAGATAGATAGATAGATAGATAGATAGATAGATAGATAGATAGATAGATAGATAGATAGATAGATAGATAGATAGATAGATAGATAGATAGATAGATAGATAGATAGATAGATAGATAGATAGATAGATAGATAGATAGATAGATAGATAGATAGATAGAAAGATAGATAGATAGATAGATAGATAGATAGATAGATAGATAGATAGATAGATAGATAGATAGATAGATAGATAGATAGATAGATAGACAAAATTAGCGAGATATAGAGAAAATTAAAGTCCAAAAACTTTATAGCACGTCTTGACAAATTAAAAGTGTTATAGGTAATATTTTGAAACGTTTGTGTATTTGTCTAATTTCAATGGCTATTTCTACAGATCAAATAAGCTTTGAAACAAAGCAGAAGTAAAAAAAAAGTTGATTTAAATTTTATTTTTATTTCAATTGAAAACATTATTTTGGAAATATCCTAAACTTTTTGGAGAAAATCCGCGAACCAATCAAAACTTTACAGCACACATATGTGCTATTGTGAACCATATCCCTAATGTAACCCTGTTTCAAAGGTCGTCTCCGACAAATTGTTTCTCCGTTGAATACTCCGTACTCCGGCCATCCGCCAAACCAAACCTTGCCAAGGATTTTACATAAATAACCTCATGGAGCTAGTAAAACTTAAAGTGCATTAAAAAAAGAACCTATTTAAACACAATTTTCAGTGAATCATTTACATATAAACAGTGAACTTATTTAACCAGATAAATATTCATTTCAGAAGAATTAAATTGCTTTAGACTTCAGTTCAAACAACTTTTCGCCGTAACACAGTTTTCTAGATCGTAAGTTCATGTTTGATTCACAATGGTACCCATTTAAAATATTTCATTCATTAATTCCCATCGGTACCTTAAAATATTTCTTGGTCGATTCACAACAGAACCTTTCCTTTAAAATTCCTATTTATCAGTTTCAATAAACATTTAATTAGTTGTAATCAAATAGTTACATTTTATTAACAATTATTATTCACATTTGTTCGTCAATCAAATAGTTACATTTATTAACAATTATTATTCACATTTGTTCGTCAATAACAATCTGTATTTTGTAGGAAACTTCGTTACTGAATAAACGTTTTTCAAGAAGTTCTCATCTATGTGTGTCTGGTAGAAAAGAGTGTTTCCCTAACCTATTTGCCTTTGGATTTGTCATTCTTCGAGTTACATATCCTCTGCCTCAGTACATCCCGCTTCGAGCAATTTACCTTTTTGATCGGCTCACAGCTATATGATGTACAGCTAATCTAACTTTACAGCACGATGATTACTCTATAGCACGTTTATTATGAAATTCACGATGAAGTGAGTAAGAATGATAAAGTACACGGACAATAGTTTCATAAATAATCTCAAATAGCCCATAAAATTTTTGATATTTGGCTACAGACCTAAAATTTACACTTTTGTTGTTAATATTTGTCAAAACAAAATATGGTATTTCTACATTGATGTTTGTGATTTATCAAAACCTCCGTAGCTCTAATTTTTGGTAATCAGCTGATGGCCTAGAAAAAATGGGCTATGAGCATTAAGAATGTGTTGTACCTTCATAACTTTACTTTTGTTTTGGGATGAGGGGGGGGGCTTGGGACATCTCCCCTATAATGTTCATAGATCAAGACCCCCCCAGCCTTTTTAGGGTTACAGAAGGAGAAAGTCAGAAAAACAAAACAAAACAATTACACGAATAAGTACGAAAGACTATGAAGAGTTAAGGACTAAAGGAAAAGGAATAAAGAAATAAAGTTGAATTTATAAAGTTCTCTGATCCAGTGATAAATAAGACAAATGACGGGGGGATCTTCTAGAATGGCATTCTTCAATAAAATCGGAAATTGTTGATTTCTCAAACTTTAACAAAATATTCAGACTTTTTCTTTTCTCAGACAACGCAGAGGGCACCGATACATAGATATAGGCTAGAATAAGAGAACATTGATAATCTTTAGGAGTAGAGAGGAGTAGGGTTGAGTATACAGATATTCTACAGGTTCGGAGTAGAGAAGAGTAGGGTTGAGTATACAGATATTCTATAGGTTCGTTGTAGAGAGGAGTAGGGTTGAGTATACAGATATTCTATAGTTTCGGAGTAGGGAAGAGTAGGGTTGAGTATACAAATATGCTATAGGTTCGGAGTAGAGAGGAGTAGGGTTGCGTATACAGATATTTTATAGGTTCCGAGTAGAGAGGAGAAGGGTTGAGTATACATATTTTCTATAGGTTCAGAGCAGAAAGAAGAAGGTTTGCGTATACAGATATTTTGTGGGTTCTGAGAAGGATTGGGACTGTCACTCAATCCTGTCTTTACAGGTTTAGTTTAATATATAGAGCTCCGGGTGTCAATAAATCCATCATTGTCGACTTTTCTCAGTTCTCCGACATTCATCTCAGTTCTTTCACGAGGTTTAGATAAGATTTAAGCTGGGCAGACTCAGGCTAAATTCTGGATTCAAATCTAAGCCTATTTTAAACAACTTTCCAATTCTTGTACAATTTAATACAGTTAAAACGAATACATAAACGATAAGTCAATATCTAAATTATTGACCAAACAGTAGACGTAGCTCTTTTTTTAGGTTAGTATCTTTGTATCCTTAACTTCTAGTATCCTAGTGTCCTTGTATCCCTGTTTCCTTGTACTTTTGTTTCTTTAGCTTTAAACATTTTGAAAATAAAACTCCTTATTTTCATTCAAAATTCTAGAAATAAAGCTTTGAGCCTCTGACACAATATGTTTTAAATAATGTCCATCATCAACCAGAAAAAAAAACAGATCTCTCACCCTTTCGGAGAGAAACTCTTGTAAAACTAAGCTGATATAAATCTTTAAAAAAAAATATAAAGCAATAAGAAAAAGTTATGAAGAAAAAAGGAAGAGAACCCCCCCCCCACCCAAGACCCTCGACCTTCCCCTCCTACAATTTGAAAATATTTAAAGCGATAAACCTGTCTCTCTATGTCCAGCAGGTTGAAGAGACAGATTAAACTTTTTTTTGAAATATTTTAATGTGATTTATTACATACATGGATACTGAGGGCAGCCTTGGTTCGAATACCAGCCTGGCATATAAACCTGTATAAACCTGTCACAAATCAAAATAGGGGGTTTCTTATTCAAGATTTACCAAACCTTCCTTCTTCAAGGTTTATCAAACCTTCCTGCTTCAAGATTTACCAAACCTTCATGCTTCAAGATTTACCAAACCTTCCTGATTCAAGATTTACCAAACCTTCATGCTTCAAGGTTTACCAAACCTTCCTGTTTCAAGATTTACCAAACCTTCCTGCTTCAAGATTTACCAAACCTTCATGCTTCAAGGTTTATCAAACCTTCATGCTTCAAGGTTTACCAAACCTTCCTGTTTCAAGATTTACCAAACCTTCCTGCTTCAAGATTTACCAAACCTTCATGCTTCAAGGTTTATCAAACCTTCCTGTTTCAAGATTTACCAAATCTTCCTTCTTCAAGATTTGCCAAACCTTCTTGCTTCAAGATTTACCAAACCTTCCTGCTTCAAGGTTTACCAAACCTTCACGCTTCAAGATTTACCAAACCTTCCTGCTTTAAGATTTACCAAACCTTCATGCTTCAATGTTTACCAAACCTTCCTGTTTCAAGATTTACCAAACCTTCCTGTTTCAAGATTTACCAAATCTTCCTGTTTCTAGATTTACCAAACCTTCCTGTTTCAAGATTTACCAAACCTTCCTGTTTCTAGATTTACCAAACCTTCCTGTTTCAAAATTTACCAAACCTTCCTGTTTCTAGATTTACCAAACCTTCCTGTTTCTAGATTTAAAAAACCTTCCTGCTTCAATGTTTACCAAACCTTCCTGTTTCAAGATTTACCAAACCTTCCTGCTTCAAGATTTACCAAACTT